TAGCGTGTAAGTAAAAAATGTCCTGCAACCGGAACTAATTTGAATATACATTTGGTAGATTGTAGATACATAAATATGTACATATGTACATATATAGTATAGTTTACTATATGTTAGAAAGTAAAAGATAAAGTACAGTTAAACAAAAAAAATCACCAAAATTTGCGTTACTTTAATATTCGGTTTTTTCTTATACATATGACTAAAAAGAAACCATCTTAATATCGAAAAAAAACGTAATTTTATATTTTATTATAATACCAATTATTGATTAATGTTTCGGTTAAGGGTTTGGCATATTTTGTATAATTTTTTATGGTCGATTTTGGCCAACTCTTCCTGAAGCTGTTCCTTTAACGGGGATATAGCCGATATTGGCGTTTGGCGTACTCGGCGGTACAGCTAACGTTTTTTATTTTATTGGAGTTTTATGCATTTTATTTGCATTTTAAGTTGAGAAAAAAATACACCAAATATTAAAGTTACCCACTGTACATGTTTATATAGGTTGAAGATAGCTAAAATGTTGATCCACGGGTTGTCTTTTCTAAATGAAGGAATCTGTAAAGATCTCGGCTGCGGCTTCGGCTTCGGTTGGTTTGTATATCGTAAATTCGAAACAAACACGGTTAGTTTAAAATACAGGGACACAGTTTTTTAAACAAATAAACCAAAACCAAGTTAATTCACTGTTTATCATAATTGTTTATATTTATATAGCAGTCAGTCTTATGTATGGAATGGAACTGTAATAAAAATATATGTACATAAATATGTATATATGTTCCGCCCCTAAAAATATAGATAAGCACACGGGGGCTGCTGTTGCCTGAAATTAATCTCTTTTTGATGCTATAGTTATTCCCTTTTCTCTGATTCTCAATACGTTGTTTGGGTGTCTAGCGTCTTTAGATAATTAGATACTGTACTCAGCCCGTTCTCTTTTGTTGAGATTAAGACTTTCAAAATATTTACAGTTTTAATCAATTTCGATTGCAATTAATGCTCCGGATCATTTCGGTCAGGAGGCATCATTGGCTTCGAAGCGAAAAGGGTCAGACGGTGACTGCCAATAGCAAACCAAGCCATGCTAACTAACTTTTTTGGCTTCAGTTGGATGGCAAATTGACCAAAATGTCATATGGTTTCAAGAAAAATGTCGAGACGTGTCGAACAGAAGGCAATTCGATGGAGCTACTGCAAGAAATGTTCACAAAATGTGAAATGGTCGCCAAAATCATGCGATCGGCTGCCCAAGTGTGGCTACATTACAGGGTGAGGTCTTACTTGAAACCATAGGGCCAAAGTCAAACCTTTTATAACTTCTATGAGTGCTTTGGATAATTTCAACACACAAGCTTTAAAAAATGTCAACTTTTTGGCTTCAATTTGTATCTTACTGTATCTTTCGGATTGAATACACATAAGATAACTATAAAATCTATGCTTTTCGTTTTGGCTTGTTTTATTTGGTGCATTCATTGTTAACATTATTCTATAAAAACAAACGGGAACATTTATACCTGATGCTCAGTCAGTTGCTATTGCGATTCTCATCCGCCAGAGAGCGCACACATCGTACTACGAAGAGTTTGTGAGAGAGAGAGAAATAGAGAGAATAAGTTAGCGCGTGGCTGGTTTTGCGTAGCCACTGCAAATTGATTTTTTCTCGGCAGTCGGGTAGGGCGTCGCAAAATTTTAAAGCAAACTTGATTTAGTTTGATATCACTGAGAGCTAGGCGTCAAACAAGACCAACAGACGAACAGACAGACATGACTTAATCGACTTGGCTATTAATCCTGATCAAGAATATATAGTATATACTGTATGGGGTCGGAAACGCTTCCTTCTGGGCGTTACACATATCCACTTTCCCAAAAAAAATGTATACATATATACCCCTATACTCATTTTTAGTATCAACAATAACACAGACTTTTGAAGAAACACCTAGTATGTATAATGAAATCAATCATTAAAAGTTATTTATGGATAACAAACAAAAAATAAAAATCGAACATTTCACATAAGCAAATATGCGCCGGCAAAAAATCTTCAACATTTGCAATGCCTGTACGTAGCAGGTTCATGGTAAAAAGCTACCAATTGACCCTTTGGAAACCTACATATGTACTTGAAACTATTCGTAAGATCCAGCCCCATTTTGACAAAATAGTGGTGAGGTCGAGGGACTTAATGTAAATAAATAAATGTATATTTTCTCTACCGATCTAGCAACCGCTATTACGAACTTTGAACTAACCCAGTGTGTTATAATTTGGCAAAAATATTTCAAAATCCATATTTTGTTATTTCTACAATATACGGAAAAGAACAAAATTCCAATCTAAAAGGCATTTCAAGTACCACCGCGCTTTAAAAAATCGCGTTTTTAAACAAATATTATACATTATATCACTAATGTGTAATCAAGAATCTACGGTACGTTACAAAACATAAATAAAATATAAGATAAAAAAGATATGTATGCACAAAATATAAAAACACAAACGCTAGCCTTAGCTCACACGTATGACTTATTGAAATTTAAAGGTTAGACGCTTACGCTTACGAAATTTCATTTACCAGCTGTTTAAAAAAGGCCCTGGTCACTGTTGCCGATTTCATTTCAGAAAAGGGCAGTTCGACTTTTTCAAAAATATCCACCCACCAATACAACTATCCAATAGCAGGCAACTTTTGCAAATAATACATACGAGTATTAGTGAAATGATTGAAATACATTACATATGTACATACATATGTACACACGTATATTTATATAATATAATAATTACATATGAATCAAGTTAAAAGCCTGCATGCATAAATATTATCATTATATACATACATATGTACACGCACAAGTATTTTCAAATGTATGTACGTATGCACGTACATATGCATAATACATATGTAGATACATTTTAAAATTAATATTTACATACATCTGGTTTTAATGGAATCATTTTTGAATGTCTCGTCTCTGATAGATTGGGGGGCACCCACATTTTCGGAATAATAAATAATAAGGAGGGTACTAATGAAAAATGTACGTATGTATGTATAAATGTTACATTGTAGAAACCGCACAAGCTCCGCCCAAAGAAATGTATTTCTACAATAGCCAATCCAATTGCAGGTTTTTTTGTCTATAGACAAATAAGACTTGCTACCATCATACCATCATACCATCCCGCTTTAAGAGTCGATTGTGCTTTCTCACTCTCTCGTCGTCAACGAGCGGCGGCTAGCTCGCTCTCCATGCTGCGGCACTTCGTTGTTAACCTCCACTTACACTTGATGATGAAGATGATCACCTAATTATCGCTTTGAAAAGGCCAATTATCAATAAATTAATTTCTGTTGATACAATAATACATATAAAAGACACGAAATTAAATTTTTTTTTAAATATACTGGTTTTTTTGATATTTAGTATAAATATATGTGCACAAATATGTGTTCGATCGTTGAGTGGAACTATCTTCCGAGCTCAGAAGTTATATATTAGTATTTAATTGGCTCTCGCACTTACTATACCTATAAAATCAATGCGGGACTACACGCTCTACAAAAGCAGTGGCAGTACGATTTGGGTTTTAACGTTCTGCAGAATAATGACTGCGTTCAAAAGCAGGCAAATCAACTAACAAGATTATGAAAACGTAAAATCAGTAAATCGGTAAAGTGGTTGTAATTTTCTTTTTCAACACCTCTCTCGCATTGGGCTGTTAGCCAGACCCAGCTGCCAGGGCGGTTGTCGAGTGTACATACATACATACATACATACATACATATGTATATCCGTAGCTTAAGCTAAGCTAAAACCTACGACACTCCCCGTAACTGAAGCCGAGCCCCTTCCCCATAGTTTGCTCTGGCGTAGTGTGGTCTGGTCAGACTGGTTTATTCGTTTAGTAAATCTCAGACTCTTTGCTTTGGCTCTCTTCTTTGAAGTTTCGCCGTTTTGGAGGGATGATGCATGTTCGCATCGCGGTGATTGGGAGAGAGCACGGGGGCAATGATGTGAGTGATTATATTTTGATTGCATTGCTCACTGTGGTTGGTTGTACGGCATTGCTCACTTAGTACAATAACCGGCGCGTCGTCTGCTAGTCTGCTGAAACAGTAATTTTTTGTATGCCGTGTTCTTCGTTTGTTGTCGTTTGTTTTGTTCCCTCTCTATCGCTATCTTCGCTTCAAGTTCGCTACCACCGCCGCTCACGTATTCGTATTCAGCTTTAGATGGTAATTTGCCAGACCAGGGAAACCTCAGTGAGAGTGCTTTTACATTCAGTGTTGTCGCTGAAGCTTATAACAAGCGTAGTTCTTGTGGAGATTTTATTGCCGTCAGTTCGCGATCTTGTTTTACCGTCGCTATTGACTTCATCATGACAAATCAAATTTCAATAGAATACTTTTTGCTGCAACGGATAAAGCAATTGTTCGCTTCTCATATTTTTAAATAATTTGTCTTTAAGAGATGTTTTAAAGACATGAACACCTAAAATGTTGTACCATCAAATATAAAGTACAAACAAAAAAAAAAAAAAAAATACATATATAGAAAACAAATAAGCCGCAAAAATAAACAAAAACCAGTGTTGTAAATAATAATCTCTGATACATGATTACATGACAAAAAAAATGTTATTTATTTTGTCTATCTTTAAATAATATGAGGAAATATTTAACACAGTTCTGTGTTGAATCATGCGTGATTGAGCTCTGGAGAAATACAAATAATTAAACATTGCCGATTGTTTAATAATGCCAAGACCCTCACGTGAATCATACGGCGATCAGAAGCCTCCATATTCATATATATCATTAACTGCTATGGCCATTTGGAGCTCACCGGAGAAAATGTTACCTCTCAGCGATATATATAAGTTTATAACAGACCGCTTTCCATACTATCGAAAAAACACTCAGCGGTGGCAGAACTCTTTGCGACACAATTTGAGTTTTAACGATTGCTTCATAAAAGTTCCGCGACGGCCAGACAGGCCCGGGAAAGGTGCCTACTGGGCGTTACATCCTCAAGCATTTGACATGTTTGAAAACGGCAGTCTACTACGAAGAAGAAAGCGATTTAAATTGCATAAAAATGATAAGGACATACTGAATGAGGAATTGACCGCACTTGCGAACCTAAATCGATTTTTCTTTACAAATCGCAATGGAAGTGTATCGCATATGACGTCGCTAGACGGCAACAATGCATCTATGAGCCTTGACTCGACTCTGCATTATCCGAGAGTAGCAAATCAATTATCAACGCCTTTAGCTCAAGGTATAATTCTACCTGATGTTATACATCCTCCCACATATAATGCAAATCATACCAATTTATCAGATATAGCACTGTCCAATTTGCCCTTGATAACTAGTCCAGATAGTGAAGGTCCGATAAGTTTACGACCGAAGCGTTCCTTTACGATAGAGAGTCTAATTACTCCCGACAAACCTGAACACCATTCGGAGGAGGAAGACGAGGATGATGACCGAACTGATATAGATGTAGTGGAATGTAGTGGAATTTTCAGATATCCGCCAACATCTTCGTCCGACGAATATATGGCAATGAGTCGAATAAACCACACTGAAGATCAGCGAGAACGACCGCTACCGCCGTTACACACTATAAATGCAGGAAACGTACCGTTTCTTCATTATGCCGCAGGAGCCAATGTATCAGGACTGAGCTCGGGAAATCTCCAATCCTCGGGAATCCCCAGCACCACATATGAACTAGCTATTTCCCATCCACTGTTTATGATGGCAACGGCACCCCTGGCCAATATGCACAATATCTATTATAATAACGTTACTCTGGTGGCACCGTCACAACAATATCTTACACCGGAAGCCCAAAATAGAATAGACAATGATTTGCGTACTATATAATTAGATCAAACTAGAATATTGCTGTACAGAATTATTTATGAAGATATGTAAATTCATCCAAACTTTGTTCCTTTTTTTATTAAGGTTAATTGATAAATAGGACCAAAACATGGCATAGTTGTAGTTAGTATGTATCAGCGCCTAATACACAATTTTTATCACATACCGTATGCATAAGCTATTTATTTTATTTGTATTAGATTCTATACATAAGTCGATAATTATCTGAAGAATATTAAATTTAAAATACCAGAAGAAACAAGTTGTTGTAATAAATGCATTTTTAGCCAACGTTATAATTGCAAGATAGTCGTTACGTTGGATTATTTTAATAAATTGAATTCTCGTATATTAAATATACCCCTGGTAGTCAGCTATTTGAATGTACAGAAGTACGGAAGTGTCTCCGGCGGATAAGCAATGTTTTTCCGCAGAATGATCTGTAGAGTCGGTCCGTCAAAGAAACTTCATCAGTGTCAGAGCTATATAATCTTCTATTCTATATCTTTGGAAATTCTGTTTGAAAATGAATAATCCATTTCTCTGCTTGGTTAAAGTACTAGAATAGTTAACCTTAGGTAGGGAGATGTGGTATTCATCTGAATAGTTTATTAGCTAACTTATCGCTTAATAAAAGACGTACGTAAACTGTATGATGTCGGAATCAAAATTCTCAGGGTCTAAAAAGATTCCTTTTGTTATAAAACATTAAAATATAAAGTTTCAGCCCGGTTCGACAACGTTTAGAGGTGCCAACTTGAGGTCAAGGTTAAAAAATATGATATTTGGCCAATGGTTCCTATGGCAGCTATACTATATACCGCTCTGATCGGATTGAATTTTTTTTTCTGATTTAGAATATTAGAATATAATCCAGCCCCAAATAGCTCGTCCTGTTAATATTTAAGCCAACAATAAATAGTCAATATTCAAATTCTCATATTAATGTGCAATTACATTTACAGAGTATTAAAATATCGAATTGACACCCTCGTCTACCCAAAATGCTTTAGGAATGGGAATGAAATCGGTATTAGCCTGTTTTGATAAAACTGTGTCCAATTCTGGACAACTCGAAGGCGCTACATTCCGCCTAGAGAAACTATTAGACAAAAGAATCTTATACCTCCCTGCAGACGTTGCCAGATTTAAAGATTCCTAGAAGACTATTGAACAAATCAAGTTTAAGTTTTGTGTGACTGATCAGTACGTTGAAAAACATTTAAATGACAGAGGAAATGCAATTATTATCTTCTGTCAAGTTGAATTGAGAAAATTCATGCGCGTATTGATTACGTTGAATTGTTAGAGTTAACTCAAATTTGTGTAGGATTGGCTCCGAAAGCTAATTTGTATACCCGATACTCACAATGGGTATTGGGGTATATTAGATATGTGGTAAAAGTGGATGTGTGTAACGTCCAGAAGGAATCGTTTCCGACCCCATAAAGTATATATATTCTTGATCAGCATCAATAGCCGAGTCGATTGAGCCATGTCTGTCTGTCTGTCCCCTTCAGAGCCTAGTGCTCAAACACTATAAGAGCTAGAGCAACGGTGTTTTATATCCAGACTTCTGTGATATGTCACTGCTACAAGAATATTTCAAAACTTTGCCCCGCCCCCTTCCTCGCACACAAAGGGCTAAAATCTGTGGCATCCACAATTTCTAAGATACAAGAAAACAGAAAACGCAAAATCGGATGTCTATAGTGTAAAATCTAAACCAGATCGTATAACTATTATAGCCAGAATCAAGGAAACAATTTCATTTTTTATCGCTCTGTCTCTCTCTCTAACACACAGGTTTCATGGGCAAATCGCAAAATGTGAGCTCAAGGATCTTTGAACCTATAAGAGCCAGAGCAACCAAATTTGGTATCCACACTCCTGTGATATCGGACCTTGACAATTTAGCCATCCTGACTAAGTATCGGGTATGAATGTAGAGCTGCGGTCTCCGCAGCAACTCTCAACATTCCCCCTCGTTTATTTTAATTTCCCTTGATCAATGCACCATCCACGTTGGATGTATAAGGCGATTTATACCTTTAAAATTTATATTTTTTGAGGGAAGTTTAAGTTACAACTCCAGAAGAAAAATATTTGCGTGACGTTTCTATATTTATAGTGCGTTCTTATATAAATTATTATTAATTATTATTTTTGAATAATGCTAATAGCTGCTTAAAACTAAATATTAACAAATGTTGGTGCTATAGCTACTGAGGCCTTAAACTCTAGGGTAATTTGGTCAGATTTTATAATTATATACAAAGATGTTGGTATGAGTATTTACAGTATGCTCGGTTATATTTTATGAAGGAAATTTGCGGTTTCTAGGAATTTGAGTATATGTAGTTTTGGAATTTGCGTTGGTGGGGTTTGAGATAAGTTGAATTGGATCGTTATTATTGAATGATAGGGACCTTTGTGGGGAGAGTAAGGGGCAGGTGTATAATATGTGTCGTGAGTCTATGTTCGCGTTGCGGCAAAATGGACAATGGGCAATGTTTCGTCAATGTAGTGGGCATTGGTCAGCTTGGTGTGGCCCAGTCTCAGTCTATTAATTATGACCTGGTGCCTTCTATTAAGGATATTGTTTTTTTGGGGGGTGTTGCTGGTAGCGAGGCTGATAATTTGTTGGTACCATGTAGAGGTGTTTGTGAGGAGGTCAACATTAGCTATTGAAGATTCAAATCTGGACTTTCAATTCATATACGAAATGTACACCGATAAAGAAATTGATCCGAAAATTGCAAAACGTAGTTCTATAAAAGACCTGGGCCATTTATGGTACTTATCTGATGGAAATATCGCACTTGCATTGTTTGACGATAAAGTTACTTTCATGCAGAAACCAGAAATGGCGAAGCAACTCTTGGCACTTCGGGTTGATGATGTCAAAACTTCAGCAAAACGCGAAATTTTTAAAGAATATTATTTTCCAACGTTTATTACAAAGAGACTATCTGATTTTGTGACACCTAATTCTGCATTTTTTGATCGATTTAATATTTCCAAACGTATTTTAACTGAAGATTCTTCAGAATGGCATAGTATTGAAGATTTTCAAAATGCCTTAAATATATTAAAGCAATTTTTAACGAAGGGGAACGTTGTGAGTTGCTGCGGAAACCGCAACTCTATATTTATACCCGATACTTAGTCAGTATGGCTAACTTGTCAAGTTCCGATATCATAGGAGTGTGGATACCAAAGCTCTAGCTCTAGCTCTAGTAGTCTCTGAGATCCTTCAACTCACATTTTGCAATAGGAAAAGCCGAGAGAGAGAGACAGAGCGAGAGAGAATGAAATTGTTTTCTTGATTCTGGCTATAATAATAATACGATCTGGTTCAGCTTTTGCACTCTAGAAGATATAGTTATACTCTAAAATTTTCTGTTTTCTCGTATCTTTGAAATTGTGGATGCCACAAATTTCGATGCTTTAGCTCTTATAGTCTTTGAGCACGAGGCGCTGATAGGGACGGACAGGCAGACAGGGCTCAATCGACTCGGCTATTGATGCTGATCAAGAATATATATACTTTATGGGGTCGGAAACGATTGATAATTTTCACCACAAATCTAATCTACCCCTATACTCATTTTGAGTATCGGGTATAATTAAAAGTGTTTAATGATACAACCGAATGTTCTGTTAAACTTATGCAATGCTATAACCAAATACTAAGCAAAAAATAGAATGTGATATTCAATACCCCCATAATAATACAAATGCCATAATATAATATTAAATGTTAACCAATCCAGCTGAAATTTTAGGGGATGGATTATATTCTAATATTCTAGATAGGAACCTAGATAGCACCTCTAAACGTTGTCTAATCGGGCTGAAACTTTTAATTTTATTGTTTTACAACAAAAGGAACACTTTTAGACCCTGAGACCTTTGAAAATTAAACTTTTATAAATAAGCGCAAACCTAATATACATACATATGTATTTTCCCAAAACTGCTTTAATTGAAAACACTACATAATACATATGTGTATATGTCTAATAATATCGTCTAATTTATGCAATTAAGTCCGTATTACTAGTCGGAAAGTTAGAATCGAGCCATACATACATATATGATAATTATCATTGTAGAGTTTTAGCTACCTTCAAAGCTCAGAGACTTGTTTGCACTGAAAATAATGACAATATCGACTAAGCTATTGATTGATTGATGTCTGTTGATGCTGATCATGAATCTATCGGATTAAAAGCGCATCTATGAAAGCTGTTGCTGTTACGTACCGTACCCATTCTCAAATACAATATACCCTTGTACTCATTGTGTACTCGGTATGAAAGATATACAGGCTCAAACCGTGCCCTTTAATTATCGCCACAGGTGATTTTCAAATTGAGTGTTAATAGTTGAAAACTTTTGTGAAAATCCATCAATAAAACCATCTCGATGCTAATGCTTTTCTTATTAGCGGCAGATCAAAGAAGACTTTGAAAGGTAAGTAAGCGGAACAAATTGTAGTCGAAAATTTGTCACGATCGCATTTGTACCTCATGAGAAATCAAAATATTTACGATTAGTTGAATTCATATGGGCATATGTTATTAATCGGTGATTTCGTTTTTGCTTTATTCCAATCGTGCTCATAACGAAAAGCTCGAAAAGAGAGACCAACAATGCATGTTGATTTTGTTACAGAGTGAGCTCTCGATTTGAAAATATAAGTAAATTATATTTAAGCGACTAGTAATATTGCAATTTAAAATAAATATTGAGGGAGGTATTTACTATGCAATACAACTGTGTTTACGATATAATGTGCCGTAGTTTTGTTTTAATAATTAACTGTTCCCAGTGTTATTGTCTGTGTTGTTGCTACCTTAATATTGTTACTTTAGCTAACGTAAAAGTTCGGACCCCCTTCTCTGCCTAAGTTCAGACTTATGTATACAAATTTGTTATTGTTTTAATTATACCCGATACTCACAATGGTTATTGGGGTATATTAGATATGTGGTAAAAGTGGATGTGTGTAACGTCCAGAAGGAATCGTTTCCGACCCCAT